AGCAAATCAGCATATTAGAATGATTTCTGAAGGATCATGTGACACTGAAGACTGGAGTAATGATGCTGAAAATACAGCTGCGCATCACAGAAATAAATTACTTTTTAAAATATATTCAATTTGAAAACAGTTGTTTCAAATTGAAATAATCTTTCACAATTTTCTGTATTTTTGACCAAATAAAATCAACCTTGATGAGAATAATGATGAAAATACGATTTAAAAAAAAATCACATTTATTCCAAACATTTGATGAATAGTTTATGTACCAAAACAATGACACGTATGCAATAAATTATGTGCATACCATTCATTATTTTACAACTACAGTGTACATATACAGTATATTCACCATATGAACTTCTGGATGAAAAACAATGAAAAATGCAAACGCTCACTCTTCTGGTTTGATGCCCAGTCTCTCGCCGCGGTCCATATTGAGCGTTCCTGCTCCCTGACCGTAGCCGTATCCTTTCGGGCCGTACTTTTTACCGTAGCAAGACTTGCAGTAGATTTCCTGGTCATGGATGGCCAATGTGGTGCTGTCTAACCCTTTTCTACAGACCACTGGAGGAGAGAAAACACCGATTTGAACGTGGAAAATAAGAGCTGCTTTTCCATGCAAAACTCACTGCTGCAATGCTAAAGTGCAGATATATGGTTGCTAATGGGTTTTAAATGGATTTTAGCATGTTGTTATGCAGGTTACAAAGAGGAATAACACATCTCTTTTGGAGTTAGAGACTTAAACCTTTAACTCAAAGTATGAGCAATAATAATAGTCATGCCACCGCTAATAATCTATCATTTTAACCCCATGATTAGAGGCCAGAATGCAATGTGTTTATCATGTGATTTTGTGGTTTTGTCAGCTGACTTTGGCTTAGTATGAGACATTGTCCCAGAGAGACAAACACGAATCCACAGCAGGGAGGTTAACACCCTTTATTATTCATTCAGCTGAACAAAACATCCCTGAACTCCATCATTCTCATTATAAATCCCGTAAAAACATCAGGTGACTGTCCACATTTGACCAGCAAGCTCCTGCAAACAGCCAGAGTCATTGAAAACGTAGAGGAAATGCGGTGAAAACACAGACGGAGAGACAAAAGGGTTTCAGCGCTCATTAAACTCATCATCGTCTCGCTCTGAGCAGAATGGCTTTTGTGGCCCACTGCAAATAAACACCACTCATGTGGGCCGCATTGTTTTTATCGTTTTGGTAGCAAAGCGCTAATGTGGAGCATGTGCGTTCAGCCGTAGTGAGATCTCACAAAAATACACACAGCACTGGTGTTTGGACAGGTCACTGCAGGACAAATAAAGTCAGAAAAATATCACTGAATATCGAGGAATTTTAATTTTAATATTTAAATTGGTATTTATTTATTTATTTTAATTTTAATAAAAAAATGCTGTCACAAAATCTGCCCAGTTCTTGTGTAACTTCAAATTCCCCCCAAAAATAAATATTTTTCCTAAAGAAAATGAAGCCCATTTAAAGAATTTTAAACATTGCATTTTTGCAACAGCATTTATAGTCATTTATATTCATTTATATTCACAAAAAAAAAAAAATTATTACCATAATGTATACTTTTGCTGGTTTTAAAATTTATTTATTTATTTACTATTTTTTTGCAGTAATGTGAATAACCACCAAAACTTCTGGTCATTACAAAACAAAACAAAACAAAATAAAATAAAATAAAATAAAATAAAATAATTTTCATTAAAATAAAGGCTCTGTTTTTGTTATGCAAAACATAATGGCTTAATTTTTCCTTTGATTTTGGGGTGAAATGTAATCTGGACCTATTATCGTGAGAAATAAAATAAAATAATAAAATAAAATAAAATCAATTAAAACATGCTTAATTGTCATTTAAAAAAGGCTGTTTTTGTTATGCAAAATATAATTGCTTTATTTTTTCCTTTGATTTTGGGGTGAAATGTGCCCTAGACATATTATGGTGAGATTCACCTGAACAGTAAAGTGTTGTGTTTCACTTACTGCAGAGGAAGCAGCACTTGTGAAAACTCCCCCCGTCACACTGGACCTCTTCAGCGTGGTACACCGTCCCACGGCAGGCGCCGCATTTGTTTCCTCCACCCCAGTTTGGCATGATGAAAAACTGTGAAGAGAGAAAATACAATTACCTCTTGAGTACCATCGCTTTAAAAGGAAACAAATCCATCCTGTGAAGTTCCGAGATCAACCTCAGGAAAATGTCCAGGTGTGCTGGACGTCTACAGGCGTGTTGTGAAGCGTTTCACTATTTATGACCACATACTGAGCCACTAAATTTCCATAAAAACCCACTTCATCCGTCTGGACTAATAAAGTAAACACCCTGTAGGCGTCTGGAGACCCCAACATCAAAACACACCGAGACCACCAGGAGCTACGGGACAGTGGAGAGTCAAATAGAGCCAATGAGTCTCTTGTTAAAAGTACAATGTCTGTTAGTAAAAGGCAAAACAACCACATGAATAAAACAGCAGTCAGACATTTCAAAGGGTCAGTTCAATTTGCTCAGTTAGTCAAATAAAATGATATCAGACCTCTCCAACAATATTCAAATAAAATGGCTAAGTGCTCATAAACTTCAGTCATCGCTGGAAAACATGAGCTGTTCTCTGTAAAATGACATCTGAATATTAATGAATGCAGCATGAAAAGAGTGATTACAGACTGAACACATGTCCAGACATGAGGGAGGACAAGCAAGCATCTCAAGGCCTCAAGAGTTTCCTCAAACCAACATCAGTATCCATGTGTGAATGCATGCACGTGTCTTATATGAAGATCTCCACTGTTAAAGAGTATTCATGCTTGTGTTCATCTGAGGACATTAGAAAAAGTTCCATAAATGCATGATAATACCACTGTGTTTAACACTAACATAATAGAGAAAGAATGTCACGATATTCCCCAATGTATAGAGCAGTAACACACCAAATAACATGAATATGATAAGTACTGCCACAGGACTTATTTTCTAAGTGCATCTAATAGTTTAGGAAAATTAATTGTATCAATCATGCAAATTGCATACTTATCGATGATAAACATTTCATCCGTTTGCATGTTTAGTTTTAACTCCCAGGTATAGAACATGTAAATATTTAATTGGTAAGTACTAAATAGGGATAAATATTAAATGTAAAATATTAAACAGATAAATATTAAATAAGCAACAAATATAAAGTAGCGCATCTTTTTGTGGTTTTGTCATATATTATGTCAATTTTAAGTATTACCAATAATGAATTATTCATTTTAAATACTTGTAGAACTGACACTGTATCTAAAAACACTTTCACACACTCGAAACGAACTTATTATGAATGTTTAGCGGAGTTTCCTCACTTTTAATCCAACTGCTGAGAATGAGATCACCAGCAGAATAATCTCGATTCAACACAAAACGTATTTTGGGCTCAATAATTGAAATGAGTTTCTCACACAGACACGTTGGCTCTTTAACACGCGATCTATAAGATGCTGTTTAAAAGGCTCCTACCTGAGCTTTCACGTGTTTTCCAGCAGATTCCCAAACTGCTCCAGTGTGAGCGAACTTCAGCAAACAGGCTGGAATGTCATCACGAAATTACAGAGGAAGAAAAGGAGGAGTGTCTTTTTAAACACACACACACACACACACACACACACACACACGTGTTACTTTACGTACTTGACGCATATTATAGTGTCATAGTAGTGAGCTGATTCATATTAATTTATTTATATGTATGTAAGTTTACACTAAGAATATAAAACTGTCATACATGTTCTTTGTGCAGTGGAAACAAACACTCACTGAGATGCTTCACTACTGAGTGTTTATCTTAAGCCCTTTTAAAAGGCTTTGTTGGGAGTTTATTACTTCATTCTAGATTTATGCTGCCTGTAATGTGTCAGACATACCTAAAGAAGATTAATGATCTTTACTGTAATGCTTGCCATTTTAAATAGATGTGGTAAGAATCATTTTATCAAGAGAATCATTTTGTTACATGCCATGAACCTATCTATATACACAGTTTCTAAGAATGGAAAATATGCATGACTTCAAAATAGTTTTATACTATATAAATAAATAAATAAAAATATTTAATATATATATATGTATATATTGGAAAGAAATAAGGAAACCCAGCTAACAGGAAACATTGACTGGGGTTCTGGGAAGGTTCTCTCAATGTTAGGGACAAACGTTCTTCCGCTAACGTTACTAAAACGTTCGTTCAACGTTATCTGGTCTTTAATAAAGTTTAAAACGTTAGCACAAAAATGTTACTTATACATCATTCATGGAACGTTTTCTGAAACATTTTAGTTGGACTCTGGTCTAACATTTTTCAAATGTTACTAATTGTTTCAGAACTTTCTGAGAACACTCAAAAGTAACATTCCCATGATGTTTGCAAATTATAAAATGGAATGTTTCCTTAATGTTTGTATATCCTTCAACGCGGAAGTAAGCCGTTTTCTGTGAATGTGCGAGACTTCCGGTTCACTAGCCGCTGTAGGGAAATAACCAGAAGAATAACAAAGTGCAGTAAATGGTAAAAATGTTTGCACTACAAACCAGTGTGTAAGATAATACATTCAAATAATATGGTAAGACACACCAGTTTGCAATATCAAGGAGCAAAACAAGCTGTTTTGTACAGGTAAAAATAGCTGGACACAGACACCGGAAGCCAGACCCATAAAAATTACAAATGGCCACACCTGCTCTTATGGGAAAAATAAGGTGGATAAGCAAAAAAAAACGGATGTTTTGATTGTTCAGAGAACATGTAGAAATAACATTTTCATAGCTCACTAGGAACATTCTTAGAACATACTTTTGTTAGCTGAGAAAGGGCCAGAACAGAATATTGCACCCAATGCACATTTGATATGAATAATGTTGACGGTTCCACCATAACACACAGACAGGCATCATTAATTATACTAATTAACTGAGCTTTGAGGACAATTTCACTCTGCGGTGTGTGAGGTATGGTGTGTGTGAGAGAGGCCTGATGAATGACTCATTAAAGCCATTCAGAAATCAGCTGTGCAGTGATACCCAGCATGCATCACTTGTCATTTTGGGAGCTGATACACTTGGACATAAATAGAATTGACCAAAATTGACCCCAAAAAATATGAGGACACGGAATGTCACTGTATAAACACAGAATATTAAGCCAAGTGTCATTTATTTGCACACTTTTCAAGCAGAATATTTCAGAAAAAGAAGTTTGCTAGGTTCAAATGATGAAACAATAGGAAAAAAGTACTGTGCACATTCCATATTTTGATATTTTAAAACCACATTTTGCTGTTTTTATGTGTAATAATACAGCAGCGCAGAAGTACGCTGCCATTTCTTCCAGTGTCTTCATCCAGGCCTTCATCTGGAATGCATATAACACTAAAAGAAGGAATTTATAGTGAACGGCACAAGATTGGAAAGAAAGAGGGAATGAAAAACAGATGTAGCATTCTGTCCGTTTTATGGTAAAACTGGACTCCGGCTGAGCAATGGCACGTGCGTGAGAAATTAAAACATAAGATTTGATTATTTAGGTTTCCGTGCATGTGTCTGTTTCTGACGTGAGCTCTTTTACCCATGAAAGAGCTTCTGGAATCAGCTGTTTGACGGCTCATTCAGACTGTGTCTTGTGCCATATTTACAAAGCCTATGGTATTTATGCACTATGTTTGGTTAATTTTGTGTAATTGTTTGGTCTCAGATATGATTATTTCTGAGAAATCAATAGTCTTTTCTGAGGTTTACTGGTCTGTTAATGTCAAAATGCAGGTTATTGCTATTCATACAGGGTTTATTGTGATGATAAAATGGGTTGCCAGGTGTGTTTGTGTGTAAGCAGCACTACTGAACATTGAAATGTCACCAAGCCTATACTATATTGGTCTAAATTAGATAATTATACAAAACTATAATACAGACCACACACACACACACACACACACACACACTTCTAATTAGGGGTGTTTGCTCAGGCCTGCTCACTGTTATTATAACACATTTAGTGATTTAAATAAACTCTTGACCCTATAGGAATTAAACTTAAGTGTAATTCTTGTTAAATATGGGTCTTAAATGCAAAGAAAATGGCACACAATAGGTTAGATGCCATATTGAATTTAATGCAGATGAAAACGAGGCTACAAAGGCACGCACTAAAGGCCCAAGATCACCTAATTGTTACAACTCACAACTTTCAAACTGTTGTATGGAGTTTTTGACTACTGAAAGTTTCTTTTCTCTCTCTCTCTCTCGAAACGTCCAAAAAATAAATATGGCGCTACACTTACTATTTGGGTTTATTTTAAAGCAACTGTACTTAGTTTTATCTACTTTTGCGACTTTAACAGAACACAGTAGTTAGTGATAAATGAAACACATGTTTAAGTACTACACCAAAACTGACAAAAAATAAAAAAATATATAAAGGTAAACAAAGCTATAAAAAACTAATAAAAATAACAAACGCACAACAAAATTGAAATGCAAATTGAAAATCTTCTAATATATTCTAAGAATGACAAAATTAATAAAAATCAAACTAAAATCAAAATGAAAACTGAAAATCTAAAAATAAAATCTAATTCAATATGTTCCAAGAATGACAAAATTACAAAAAATCAAACAAGAATTAAAAATTAAAATCTAAAAAGCTAATTCAAAATATTATAAATACTATAATACACTGTAAAATTATTTTGTAAGTTTAAGTTAAACTGCTAAAATGAATAAAATTGACAAAAATAAATGAACGCTAAATAGAGATACAAAACACACACACACACACACACACACACACAAATGGCAAAGGCACAACAAAATTGAAATGAAAAAGTTTTTGACTACTTAAAGTTTCTTTTCTCTCTCTCTCTCGAAACGTCCAAAAATAAATATGGCGCTACACTTACTATAGCGGTGTTTTGGGTTTATTTCAAAGCAACTGTACGTAGTTTTATCTATTTTTGCGACTTTAGAGCCCCCGTCAGTTAAGTGAGTGGAATTCACTACTGTCGTAAATATATCCCTGTCGCGCATTTGTTGCTGCCGTAAAGCAATCCGCACTTTTCGCGGAATTTCGTACCCGCTCACCAAACTTACAGTTCCAGAACAGACGTTTTGGAAAAATAAACTTAAGCTATTCGCCTTATCATAAGTTTGTACCATGCTGAAACTGATATTTCAAGGTAATTAAAAAAAAAATTTTTTTTTAAAGACATTTCATGGTTCCATGTGTTCTAATAGTTTCACTGATACACTGTGATCGTTTTAATATAAAAATCTCAGAGGACAAATTATTATGAAAGATTTTGCCCTTTGTTTCCGAGATGAATCCCTAAAAACATAATTTTTTTGTATATGCTGCCATCTTGTGGTCACACAAAATTAAGCCCATTCCCCTACAAAATCAAGAGAATGCACGATTTAACAAATATTATATTTTACATATTTATTTTGTATTACATGTATGACACCTGTGTCCATACATAAAATGATTGAAAATATATCTGATAAACACAAAAGCACCGCAGATTCAGCAGTGCAGCTTTAAACATCCAACAAAGACATTTAAACACTGACAGATATAAAAATTAACATGTATATAAAATATTCAATGCTACGAGTTACAGTAAATAACTGTAAATACTGTACAGCTCTATGGATTAAACCATGTTGTGTGAAATTCAATCCAAATGTATGTTTCCAAAAATAATTTATTACTAGTCTACAAAGAGTTCATACACAAACATACTTGGTTTCAAAACAGTACAGTACTGTGATATTTCTGCTTTGCTCCAGTGATTGCAGATCATATTCACTGGTCATTCAAGTATGTCTTTGTTTCCTATTGGTTTCACAGATGTAGCACCTCAAACTTTACCAGTGTCAACAATTACAACCATTATTTTGTTCTTTATCCCCAAATACACTCAGAATTCATTCGTTCTCTGTGGCGAAGGCATCATGTAACAAATACATTTCTAAGGCATGTCGGCTTCACCAGTATGGCACTTCTACAAACTGTTTACCTGTGAAATAGTGAACATACTATTGAGCAGATCTGTGTATTTTTCTCTCAGAGACTGATCCAGACTTAATTCATTTTCACATTTTTAAATATGTAGTGCTAGAGCTGGATTGTTGATTTTAGCCTCTGGAATACTATAATAAATAATAACGGTAAACACTCAGGTAGGATGTCAAATGAACTCCAAAATACTATCAAAAGTGGTGGGGGAAAACAGAAATACAGCCACAAGAGGGCGTGTAACAGACTAAAACCAATATCACACTAGTATCTGCCCTCTTATTCTGATGTTCACTACTCAGTAAACAGGAAATGTTCATTTCATCAGAAAGAATTCAAGTCAAATTTTGCTGTGTAATGCTGTTTCTGTCTCTGGCACTGTAGCACCACAGAAGCATGAAAATGTAATGACACAAACGCAGCAGCTAATTTAATTGGCTGTGGCGTGTCCGATGTCCAGCCTCCTCTGGGCGGAGCCTCTTTTGCGTGCCGCCGGTGGGGTGCTGAGAGACCTAAAGGCTCCAGGCGTCTCGAAGAAAGA